ACATAGTTGATCGTCATTGCTTTGTTCCATAGATAGTATCGGGTTTACATTCCGTTTCCAGACAAGCACCCTTCTACTTCCCAGTACTACTGTGCACTACTAAGCTTGCAAAAAATCCTTCCCAGTACTACTTTGTACTACAAAGCTTGCACAAACCACTTCCCAGTACTACTTTGTACTACAAAGCTTGCACAAACCACTTCCCAGTACTACTGTGTACTACAAAGCTTGCACAAACCACTTAACAGTACTACTTTGTACGACAAACGCTTGCAAAAAACCAATTCCCAGTACTTACTTGTACCTACAAAGCTTGCACAAACAATTCCCTAGTAGTACTTCTTTGTACTGCAAAGCTTGCAACAACTATTCCCAGTACTACTTTGTACCACAAAGCTTGCACAAAGCACTTCCCAGTACTACTTTGTACTACAAAGCTTGCACAAAGTCGTTCCAGTACTACTGTGTACTACAAAGCTCGCACAAACTACTTCCCAGTACTACTGTGTACTACAAAACTTGCACAAAGCACTTCCAGTACTACTGTGTACTACAAAGCTTGCACAAAGCACTTCCCAGTACCACTTTGTACTACAAAGCTTGCACGAAACCGTTCCCAGTACTACTGTGTGTTTTTTTTGTTTTTTATTTTGTTTTTTTTTTTTTTTTAATGCCAAAGCTTGCACAAAGTCGTTCCAGTACTACTGTGTACTACAAAGCTCGCACAAACTACTTCCCAGTACTACTGTGTACTACAAAACTTGCACAAAGCACTTCCAGTACTACTGTGTACTACAAAGCTTGCACAAAGCACTTCCCAGTACCACTTTGTACTACAAAGCTTGCACGAAACCGTTCCCAGTACTACTGTGTACTACAAAGCTTGCACAAAGCTTCCCAGTACTGATGTCTGCTACAAAAGCTTGCAAAAACCACTTCCCAGTACTACTTTGTACTACAAGCTTGCACAAAACACGTTCCAGTACTACTTTGTACTACAAAGCTTGCACAAAACACTTCCCAGTACTACTTTGCACTACACAAGCTTGCTGTGTACTACAAAGCTTGCACTTCCAGTACTACTTTGTACTACAAAGCTTGCACAAAGCACTTCCCAGTACTACTTTTTACTACAAAGCTTGCACAAAGTACTTCCCAGTACTACTTTGTACTACAAAGCTTGCACAAACTACTTCCAGTACTACTTTGTACTACAAAGCTTGCACAAAGCACTTCCCAGTACTACTGTGTACTACAAAGCTTGCACAAACTACTTCCCAGTACTACTGTGTACTACAAAGCTTGCACAAACCACTTCCCAGTACTACTTTGTACTACAAAGCTTGCACAAACTAATTCCCAGTACTTCTTTGTACTGCAAAGCTTGCACAAACTACTTCCCAGTACTACTGTGTACTACAAAGCTTGCACAAACCTCTTCCCAGTACTACTGTGTACTACAAAGCTTGCACAAAGCACTTTCCAGCACATTGTCGCAGCAATTCAGAAAAGGAGGAAATAAGTGCCTACAAATGAAGACCCTATCTATTGTAAACGTCACGCAAGCCAGATATGCCACATGAAATGCAAAGTAAACTAAATTAGTATTCGGATATGATGTTGCGCTAAACCCCTGGGAAGCGCAGCAAGGCGCAAGGGCGAGCGCAAGATGGATAAAGTAACGCAAGAAACTACTTAGGTTTAGAACAGCCCCCATGTGATCTCAGAGACAGTCCTCAGATTTCCCGTTTATCCACGTTTTTCACTGCGCGGCAGGAGGGCCAACTGGCTGTTCTGGGTGCTATGGCGCAGCTCGCAGGCCATCCACAGCTGGCGCAGTCCATCGTGCTGCCACAGTTGGAGCCTTGGAGACATGTGATTTTACACACGATGGGGATTTAACCATCAAAAAGGATGATGTAACTAGGATATATGCTGATCAACCATCAGACATGAGGATCTAACCGATAAAACAATCAACAAGGATGATTTAAACTGACAACGATGGTGATTTTAGCATTGACAGTGATTCAATGGGCCATGGGATCGGCAATTTGTTGTTAGTAACTGAATTTTAAATAACCACCATATCCCAATTACATCCACCAAAGAACATGGGAAATATCACTGATAAAGATATGACAAGAAACTGATTAATTGCATTTATACACTCTAACAAAAACCTATATAATGTGATTGTTTGAGAACGCAATGGCCAAGTAGTTTAAACGACTACTTATGTAACTTATCAAAGATTACTTCGACAACATGTTGGTAGTTGATAGTATTTTTTAAGCATTGACAAGAAACTAATTATATATATATACATATGTATACAACATTATACAACCCATTCATCAAACCCACTAATGAAATTAAGGGATATTTCATAATATGAATCCATTCGCATGTTGGTGTCCCACCCCATGCCCTCCCATTCGGTTGTACCATTTGGAATAGATTGATTGGTTCGGAAACCTTGTGTGTATGTACGTATGTG